AAGTAACGGCTCCAAGCAGTCTTTATTGCGAAACATAATGGATGATAGGTGTCTGTTGAGGAACTGAACACCATTACCAATTGATGAAGAACGTGTTGGACGTGGAACTGACTCATTGAAAGGCTCAAAATCAAGCTCAAGCGTATAGTGGTCATCAGCCCTATCACACATTACATATATATATGAATATCAGTACATGAATTTTGCTATCAGATTTATCAAATTTTAAAATCTTATACTCACTTTCCATCCTCAAGTTCTTCCTTGAAATGGAGATACTCAGATACAGTAAACTGCTCCACATTAAGTTCATAGACATTAACACGAACATATTCCCAAACTCCAGGTCTTGGACGGAGTGCTATAGCAACAAAGGGAGGAACAACTATTGCTTCCTACCATAAAACAAAGTCAAACACATTAAAGATTGACCAAATATAATAGGCTAAATAATCAGAGATCACTGTCAACAGTTCCACAGGTCATCATTACACTAATTGTGGAACAAAAAGAAAAAGAAAAAAAAAAAAAGCTTCCCTTATTCGCGGTTAAAATTAACAATTCGTATAGGTTTAACATAAATATTTATTGGAGTATTCAAATAACGTCTCTTCAACCTCCAAATCACCACCTCCAATCACTAACATCCATAGTTTGAGAAAACAATACTCTGTACGTCCAAAAATACAACAAAAGCATCCTAAAAATCAAACATTACACAACCATAAGCTAATAGCTAAAGTATTAAAGAGGACATTTCATTGTTTATAATCTATGCAGTTGTTAACATCTGTTTAGTAAGTAGTACGTGTTTTGGAAAAAAATATAACAAATAGAATAGTAAAATAGAATGAATAAGCACATTGTACAAATCAATTTGCCATTTTAGAGGTCTAATTAATATTTCATCTGTCAAAATAAAAAAAAGAAAAAAAAAAGAGAAGAAAACTTCTTGTTTAACTTTGGAAGTCAAGTTTGTATAAATTTTACCAATAATTTGTTAAAAAATACTGCAATAACAAAGTAGTGATAAAATTGTTAAACATAATCTTTAAAGTAATTACGATCGATTACAAGCCAACATTACTCAAAATTTGCCAATGACTATTGAGTTTCGACTACTCCGTATTTTATTAAAACAAGTAACAATATCCACATCAATTTGGACCGCTTGGCACATATAACCAAAACATTCCAAGAGATAAACCGATAAAGGTACTAACGACGTCTCATTCAACACATAAGTTTGATGTCCCCCACCTTTTAAATTGGATAAGTGTGACAACAATGGCTAGATCATACCATATCAGGCAGTTTTGAATACATTTTTTTGTGTAATGTTCTCCATCATTCCATAACATGATCAACAAAATCCCCAATCATGCGCACAAAGAGACGTAAATAATTTGAGGACATTCTATCGGTCCCTTCAATTATTACTGTAAAAAAGCTCACATCTTAAAGCGGTGGCAACACACTATCTTACAAAACCCAAGTTTGTCTCTTATTTAGTGCTTACTCCAAGTACTAAGGATCTAGAATCATCATTTGCCACAACTATTTTTGATAAGCAATATACGTACTACGTATGGTCCAAATTACTCGCAACTTTGGAATATTTTATGTCTCACAAATAATGCCCCAAAGTTACGAGTAATTTGGATAGGAGGTAGTATTTAAGTACTCCCACTGTCCACAAATAATTGTCATGCTCTAGATGTCCGGACAAAATTGTCACATCCACTTGATCGTAATTTAACATATTGGTTAAATTTCCAAACATACCGCCACTAAAACGTGTTACGAAATTACCAATCACTACAAACATTGTGAATTCCTTAATTACAATGAGGTAAGACAAGTGGGTGACATACTTTTATTAATTTGAGACGGAGGGAGTATACAACAACGATGGGATAATTCCGTGCTAACAAGACAAATGGGTGATTACTGATTAGTTGATTACAGAACATATTTATACCAAACACAAAAACAGAGTACAATCAAAATCAAAGCGAAAAATATTCAAACAAATGAAGAAAAATCACCTGAGCAGACCTAAGAACTTCGCTAAAAGGACCATCTCTAAGAATTTGCTTTCCTTGATCTTCACCAATTATTTGTTCCAATGCATCAATCAAATGATGGGGTTGTAACAAACATTTTCCTTGTGCTACATACCTATATTATTCAATCAATCACCACCCAAAAATCAACAACAAAAAAAATTAAATAAATCAAAATATACTTACTACAAATATATTCTACAATAAGAATATAAAAATTAATACATTAATCATCATTAAGATCAACTAAACATAATAAATAATATCGACTGCACACACGTACTGTTACAAATATTGAAATATGTACCATATTTTAGAAAGACGGGTTTGTTAAATGTTTATAGATTGAATTAAGGGTTGCATATATCAAAACCGTTTAAAAAAACACGAAAAAATCGAACCTAGAGAGAAGAGAAACAAGCTCGTTACGATGAACAGAGAGAGTATCTTGAACTCTCTCACGCATGCTAGGAATTTTGGTAAGCTTAGGCGCCATTTGAATATGATCTGACCGAATTCAGCAGAATCTGGAAAAAAAACTGTTTTTGAAAGAGATGAAAAATGTTATATTGTAATGGTAATAATGATCAGAAATAAAGAGGATACATAAAGGGGAGAATAAGGAGGAGAGAGAAAATAAAGAAAGTGAAAGATGGCGGAATAAGAGAGGAACAAGTGGTAAAATAAAGGATAACTTTGGGAAAATACCATTAACTGTCGTCTGCGTGTTTCAATTTCCGGGTGCGATTATGACTGGCCAATTGTGGATGGGTTCGGATGATAGTTAGTTTAGTTGGTTATATTGTTTAAATAATAAGGGGTAATTTTGAAATATTTACAATTGTGTAATTGATAAATAATATGAAATGAACGAAATACAAATAATTCGGGATGATGGTTGTACAAAATTCTAATTCACAAATTATATATTGTTACGTACGGAGTATCAACAAAATGTTAACTCACACAAGGTTTTTACCTCAATTGTAAGGTTTGAGGTTCACATCCTTAATTCTTCATTCCAAATGAAGGTGACTTGGGGGGGGGGGGGTTTGAGCATAACACAATATCTTATTAAAGTTGCAAGAATTGGAATCAAAATCAGAACATGTTATAACAGATTCTTCAATGGGAACTGGAACTGGAACATGAATCTATAGAGCAGATTCCTAGAAAATGAGTTCAAGGTACCCTGTTTTTAATATACTTAATAATTTTTTGCAAAATTATTTTAAGAAAATGTGGATGGTCACAAATTTATACGGAGTAACTTTTATTCTGCAAATACAACAAAGCAAAAGTAGTTGTTTAGCAAATTTTAAACATATATTTATAATTATTATTTTTATTTTATATTTTAAACTGAATTGGTGTATAATTTGAGCTTCTTAGTGGTATCTTTTAGTTACAGAGCACCCTATAGTTTCGATCCAAAAAACTAAGAGCCTAAATCAAAATCTGTTACAACTAACAACAGGTTCTCAAGTTAAACTCGAAATCGAATCCTCTTATCCAGGTACCGGTTTCAATTCCAAAACTTGTGGTTCCAAATATGCTTTGATTGTGATTTAGGGTAACCTGATTTTTTTTTTCTTTAGGGGTAGGTATTTCTATACCCTCTTCCTTTCAAGTGTCTCACCTGTAAATATTAAAGTTGAAAAATCACGAAAGTTGAGATCTATCCAAGCTCCTTCATTAAAAATGATAATCATAAAATATGGAGTATTTCTCAAACTATGTCCAGTATGTGGTATTGTGAATAATTGAAAAGTTTTATCTATTAAGTGATGGTGATGGGTGAAATGATTACTCTAGATAATTTCTAAATGGTGATAGATGGATGAGTATACTTTCACTATTTAAACCTTTTTTGTTTAAACGAGTAATTTATTTCAATCTTGTTAATATGGGTCCTTTACCAATCAGTTTACATGGTTTGACAGCCTTCAAACTTGATTTATAGTGTACACCTGCACCATAAACTTATATTGGTCAAACATGTTGATTAAAGGTACAAATTGGCTCAATCACTTGCATGCATATATAAATATATTCAAAGAGCAACTTAACAAATAAATTATCATGTTTTGCATTTATAATAAATCGTGACTTCCCATGAGTCATATCGTGCTCACACCATAAATTACAATTCTAATGACAAACCAATTCACGTAATAATAAATACTGTAACGTAGACATGACTTGACCTAGAAAACAATTCTAGCTACGAACATACCATGTTGATTGCTTAAGGGGGTTACTCGAAAGACTAAGAGCTTTACTTTAACAGCAAGCTAATTATCAAATTAACTTGTCATGCCATATAAACTTTTAATATATATAATTGTCATTTTAGCTACTTTGAGCTCCAGTGGCTAGTTATTAGCTCGCTTACTATTTAAGTAACCTCAACTCATTTAACTTTTATTTATTTCATTTTATTTATTCTTTTTGGCAAATATTTTTCCAAGCTAATTACATTTTCTAGCTCCAATTCAAGCTAGTAGCTAGGCATTATTTTAAATTGCAAGGAAATCCGTATCTACAACAATTGAAGTTGCTTTAATAGAATGCCTGCATATCTTTGGTTTCACTTCCTAAAATTAAGGAAATAATTAGAATTATAAAACTTATAACTAACCTAAGCATGGCCTAGTTTAAATTTCAACAAAATACTAATACTAATATAAAATTATATCAAGTAATATTTTAGGATGTTGAAAGACGAAGGATTTTAAAACCATTAGTATATGTTGCCTAAGTTTCCCTTAATCAATGGAAGAATCTAATACGAAGTAAGATAGAAATAAAGAGATACAAATCATATGATCCATGATCATTGATGGGTTGTTATTATTACTTTGATAACAATTTCCATTATAAACAACATTATAACATCCAATTAAACGTTCTATCGATCCACCCATTTATTATTCAATTTGGATGAATTCATGATTCATATTGACCTTTTATGAAGAAATGAATTTCGTTTCAACAATAATAGTATTGTCTTTCATTAAAAGCGAATTTACAATAGTTTGCCAAAACTTCACCTTATAATTTGTTTACAAGTTTATATACAAATTTCTACTCATCAATAGATGTTTTCCTATTTTAATTTCTATATCTATTGAAAAGAGTAATTGGTCGCAACACAACATTAACACGACTTTTTAAATCGACATCAATAAAAAGAAGAAAATAGTATAATTCCATTGATTGTTAAACCAAACCAAAAAAAAAAAAAAAAAAAAAAAAAAAAAAAAAAAAAAAACCAACTTAATTTGCATGTCATAATGTTTAAATTATATCTTAACATGGTTTCCCACTTTCCCTCACAAAAATGCACATAGACCACAACATTGATTAGCTCCCTTCCTTCTCCAAGAGAAAAATCAATACCATAATGCTAAATTAATGATGGTTACAATTAAATGCAGGAATAGATAACACTAATTATAGATTACGATGTTTGTGCTAATATTAGTGGAAAATATGATCATTATAACAAAATCTAGCAACCTCCTATATTCTCTAAACTAATTTTTTTGTTTTTCAACATTTTGGTCTTTTGTTAGTGTTTTAAACCCTTGGAATAATTGCTACAAGGTCACCCATGACGATATTATTTCTTCTATTATGCCTAACTTCATTGGTATACAACGTCGATGGCAAACCTAAATTAAAGGGTGGCCCTGGAATTGGTCCTCCGGCTACACCGGTACCGTCTGGAGCAGTTTTTGATATCACCAAACATGGTGCTACACCTGGTGCTGCTGATGATACCGACGATGAAGGAGAATCTGCCAATTCTTTGGTATAGTTTTCATTGTTTTTGGTATTGTATTTTACGTGGAATTGGTAGGAACAATAGTTTTACTAGTTCGTTTGGCGGGTGTTATAACAAATGACAATATTGAAGATGAATTTATAGTAATTTTTCAACGAACTATGAATTCTGCTAATATTCATGATAATGCAATTCATCCCAAACATTTAATTTTCTTCTTAAATTGTAATGAGCATTGTCATAGGATAGCATTTGCATATAAATTCTTTTTCTTTATTGTCAAAAAATAAAAAAATAAAAAAAAAATGCCAAAATGGTCGTATATGGTTTTTATCCTATTGGATGCAAATTTTAATTGGAATTTAGGGTATAAATTTTGACTATCCAATAGCCACATATAATGTAATGATGCATATACCATATATTCATATTATTACAAGGTTTTTTTTTTATTTTTTATTATTTATTTATTTTTATTATTATTTCTACCCTAAATAGAATTGGATCCAACCATCAAAACAAAATTGTTATTGAAATACATTCTCTACATGTCAAATTACTTGTCATATTTTGATTGAATGTACATTTGCCAATACATAATTATGATCGTTATTATTTTTAATTACTATCTATTGATACAATAAAAAATATATGGAGTATATATTTAGAAAATTTACATATAGTTAAACCTGATAGAATGTTAATTGCTTTTTACATATGAATAAACTTTTTATATGTTAGTAAAAAAAAATGGTCAAATTAAAGTATGTGAATAGTGTTAAATTAAAATCAAAATGTTACAGGGTATAATAATTAGGGACAGACTACAGAGGATGTACCACTTCCATTGATCCCATCTCATGTCTACTCCGCATTAAAACTCTTAATCATTACATTAATGGAAATTAAATCAAAAATAAAAAAATCCTATACCATTAAGATATATCAGTGACAAAAATTAACTAAACATGGAGTTACAATAAAAGCTAAACCCACACTTCCTTTGTTGCTTTTTTTACACTCTTGTTTGATAGGCACACTAGTCAATGTTGTGTTTTGATTAACGATATCTTTAATTATCGGCAACTATAAATCATAAAAAGTTGATATTCTGTAACCCTTGTTACTGTTGTAGATAGTAAAATTGTCTAAAACCTAGCTTATAAATACATAATAACAAAATAAAGGTAAAATGCAGGCATTTATCCAGGCATGGAAGGCAGCATGTGGTGGCATAGGGGCAACAAGAGTACTAATTCCGAAAGGGATATTTGTGACAGGTCCAGTTATATTTGCTGGACCATGCAAAGCTAAAGTTACAGTTGAGATTCAAGGTAATGTGTTGGCTAACACTGATATTAGTCTCTACTCTGAGCCTCATGTCATCATGTTTGAGAATGTCGAAGGCGTCACCTTAACCGGTACCGGTGTCGTTGATGGCCAAGGTGCTAAACACTGGCAGAGCAACGATTGCTCTAAGAACTCCAATTGTGCCGCGCTGCCTACTGTAAGTTAATGGTAACCATCCTTTTGATTGGTAGATAGGTTTTAGTAAAACGTGGAAATGGTCATGAATTTTTTTCATTATTAATAACTTTTTCAAAAGAAATTTTCACATCATATGTTTATGGTAATGCTTGTACATTTTCAAGTATGTGTAGTCCTCCTTAACATTAAAGCCTAGTTTAACATTTAATCCTTTACCATCTTCATTTTTTTGTCCGTTGTACTTTAACATTATGCTGTTATTTTTTAATACTATTTAAATTAAAAACCTTGAATAATTAAAAATATGATTTCTATTCAAAAAAAAAAAAAAATCCCCCTATTTTTCTTTTCTATGTATTCAATATTTTTACTTTACCACAATTATCTTCAATAGAAAGTTCCCAATAAACACATATTTTCTCAATTTTTTAAACATAATTAACATGAAATTCATTTGGTTTTGTAGTCCATCAAATTCCACAGGGTGAACAACAGTGTGATTGAAGGAGTTCAATCAGTAAATCCCATGTTTTTCCACATGTTTGTTAGCAACTGCCACAATGTGACAATTCGTAATGTGAAAATAGCAGCTCCGTTTAATAGCCCTAACACTGATGGAATTCACATTGGGAGCTCCGATCTTGTTACAATCGCCGATAGCCTAATTGGCACCGGTGACGATTGTGTCTCTATAGGCCATGGATCCAGACAAATCACAGTCACGGGTGTTACATGTGGTCCTGGACATGGTATCAGGTAAATTACACAATTTCTTTTATGAGAATATCAGCTCCGTGTTTGAATTAAATGTTAGAAATTTAAAAATCCCCGTTACAATTCATTGCTAGATTGTCCTTAGATTTGATACATTTTTACTAAAGATGGAATGGTTACCATTTTACAAAATGAGACAAATTATGTAAAACTTCGAAATTGAAATAGTGATTATGATTTTCACCCCACACCATGGTCTTCTTCTTCCTCCTAGACATTTGGGTAGATTATTATCTTTGAAAAGAAGCTCAACTCCCTAATACACTTAATAATCTATCTACGATTGTAAAATTACCGTCTATTTGGTAAGTGGTTTAAATGGTAATAATGAGAATGAATTTGTATGAGAATTTTTTTTTAAAAATATTTAATCTTCCTTACCACATCTTGCCACCTTTAATTCTTTATTAAATTTAACAAATCGCAAATTCAAATTTCATTATGTATTTTATTAATCCGTGGTTTATACACACAGGTGTACAGTGCTCATCATACACCCGGATAAATAAAAAAAGGGCGGAAAGAACATCTTGTGTTTCATAAAGAACATACATGTATTTGATAAAAACATGCATTACCAAAGAACATAAAGATATAATAAAAAGAACGAGATTAAAACTTAATTAAATTTTCTGAAAAATTACACGGAAAAAATTTAGAGGTGATAAAAAATCTAGTAGGGCCGGGCCATATCATAATTTATCGTGCCCAAACTCGTAGAAAAGTAGCGGGTTTTCGGGCTTTTTTCTAACCCGGTTTGAGTTTTAACTAAAAATGCAATTTTAGGTTTGCCCAAACCCACCCTATTTCGGGCCGGATCGGGTCGGGATGCGAGTCATGCCAATGTTGATCACCTCTTAAAAAATCCTTACCAAAGATATCATTTCCCCAAAAAATAGTTTTCTATCTCTCCAAAAAAAATTCACCTTTCCATAATAATTTAGTTTTTTTTACTCTAATATTATTTTCAATTAAAAATAATTTAAGATTTCAATATCAAATTTCAAAATACCATATGTTAAAAGAACATAATTTATATTGTAAAGTACATATAGTTAATACCTAAATAACACACTAATCAAACTCAAAGAATATACGATAATAAAGTAATTTAAATATGACATATGATAATAAAAGTAGAATTTGGGCATCACTACGACCTTAAAGAACATACACGCCAAATTCAAAGAACATACTTTGTATTATTAAATCCAAAAACACATATATGTTTATCAACATATGTTAAATAACATAAGTTATAATGTAAAGAACATATAATTTTACTCAAAGAACACACTGATCACACTAAAAGAACATATTAAAGGTATGTTCTTTGTCAAACATTGGTATGTTCTTTATCAAACACTATATGTTCTTTCCGCCTTTTTTTGTTTACCCGGGTGCACTATGAGCATGGTGCACCCGGGTGTATTATCTAATTTTCAGTATTTTATAGGTAAATATTGATTAAGTGAGAAAATTAGATTCATATGCATTGAGGTTGAAAATAGTATCAAAGATTTAATATTAATTAGTTCATACATTTTAAGCATTAAAACATTATAAATTATGAATAAAATTTTCATAATTAATTAAATATTGATGTTTAAATTCTTATGTATAAATGCATGTTTGATTAATAATAGTGTGGGAAGCCTTGGAAAGTATAATAACGAGTTAGAAGTAGTAGGGGTGCTAGTTAAAAATTGCACTCTTAGTGGAACAACAAATGGTGCAAGAATCAAGACTTGGCCAGGAAATAAGGCAAATAAAGCTTCTGCAATCACATATGAAGATTTGATTATGGATCATGTAAAGAATCCAATTATCATTGACCAACAATATGGCAAGAAAAAAAGCTCTGAGGTAAAGGAAGCTTTTATTTACACATGATTTTTTCTTCTGATAAGGTATTGTGTGTGTCTAGACTCACCGTAAGACAGATATAAGTTATTAGACATTTTATATAAATTTTTAAGCACCTCAATTTTTGAAATTTAGATATAATTTAAGATTTTGAACATTGCTCTTAAGTTTTGAAAATATTTTCATACAAAATATTATACTTATACCTCTAGGGTGAGTATAGTAGAATCACGGTGAAACAGACTCACCTAATATTTTGTGATGTCTTTTATTTAGAAAATACTCACAACTACACTGCTCATTCAATGTCATTGTTAGTTCTTAGCTTTTTGGTTTTATGATTTGGCACCTCATAAGATTTAATTTAGATACACTCATGAACAAAACTAACCCATAATTAATAATCGTTTAATTTTGAAATCAAATCGGATAACAAAAGGCTAAGAACTTTTTGTGGTTTAAACATTTTTATTTTAAGTTTAGTTTCAGAGAAAAAAATTTTAAACAAATAATGATTACAAGCAGGTACATAGTATACATTAAGACTATGTTCAGTTCGTATGATGAGCTGAATTTTTCTGATTTGATATTACTTCTAGGTTTGACCTAATTTGTACACTGATGACTCATAAGTTAAAAAATCATACATCCTTTTCAAATATAAAATTTTCATAAATTTTTAGATTACAAAAATAAAGATATTTAACGATAAATAAACACAAATAAAAAGATAAAATATGATCTAAGTATAAGTTGAAATGGGCATATCCTAAGGGAGTTCTCTTATAATTTTCTGTACAAGCACAAGCACAAGCACAAGCACATATTTGTTACTTTATTTTTAAAAGTTGGAGACTTCATAACTATCTTTGATTTGTATATATATATATATATATATATATATATATATATATATATATATATATATATATAATATATATATATATATATATATATATTTTTTTTTAGGCATCTCATGTGAAAATTAGTGATGTGCACTTCAAGAACATAAGAGGAACCTCAGCCACAACAGAGTTGGTGACTTTTGCATGCAGTCCAGCATTACCTTGTGAAGGTATTGAGGTAGCCGATGTAAACCTCTCTTTTGAAGGGAAAGCTGTGTTACATAAACTTAAAAAGCCACTTGGGGCAATTGGTAATTTGGCAACTACTTGTATGAATGCCAAAGTTATCTTCAATGGTAAGAATGGGGGTATTGGTTGCAAGTAATTCATTATTTCATTCTAATAATGAATTTGAACATGAGTTTGTGCCTAATTTTATCTTGTACTCCTTTTTTAATTTTAAGGGCCAATACAAAGTGATAGATAGTGAGAGAATTTGAGAAAATATAAAAGAGAATGATTTCATTTTTTTTTTACTGATGAAAGTGGCCTACTTTTACGTTTGTTATTATAAATCTTTGATTCATGCAGCCGACGTACCCTATTCTATTGGGATTAAGGCTCTGATACTGTTGTTGTTGTTGTTATTGTATACTTATGAGAAGTTTTCTTGTAGAATTTAATGTAAATTAGCACACATTTTGCTTGTACATACGCTCATTTCCGGCCTTCCATTAGAAAAATTCTTGTCTAGTATGCAAGGCTACAAGCTAATGAATTTGATTTTAATTAGTAACCGTAAATTTTATATTGGTGTACGAGCTAGTCTCAATTCACGATTTTTTTTACATACATTTTTGGCTCATAATTTTCTCCCTATTACTTTCTTTTTAGATTTTTATACTACTATCGTTACATATTATGTGTAACTTTAGGGTATTATTTATGAGATATGAAAAATTCAAAAGGTGCACATATTATGTAACTCATGTAGTATATTCCGTGTCTATTTTACTTTTGTGGATTTTTTGGACAACTCTTCTATTGATCATTAGATAGCTTACCTTTTCTTCAATTTTTTTTATTCAAAATTTTTAATTTTTTTTTTAACATTTATCATTAGTAATACAAATTGAAACCATTACATTGTCCTTTTACTATAATTTGCAACATGGTTGTATTATTCTATTTACTAGCTTAAGTACAGTACTCTATGCCACGTACGATATTTACAAGATTTTATAATTTGCAACATGGTTGTATTATTCTATTTACTAGCTTAAGTACAATACTCTATTTACTAGCTTAAGTATAGTACTCTATGCCAGTACAATATAAATAAATTATAATGTTAATTCAATAATAACTTATCAAGAACATATAAATATTTACTGTAATTGAAATAAATACCTTAAATTTTAATTTATACTCATACCAAAGACATTAATAAGAATATTAATACAACAAACTTCATAGTAAAATTAAAGAAATATTGGCATTATGAGGTTTTATATAAATAAAATGAAAATTTTAGATTAGTTTTTGTATATCCTTCGTCTCTATTTTACGTAGTACAATATAATTTGACTCGCACAACATTTTACGTAAATTTACTTTATTTTATTTTATTTTGTGTAATTAGTAATCAACTCATCTTTTTTTTTTTTTTTTTTTTTTTTTTAATTTATAGAATATAATGGAGTAGTAGAGTGTTTTTTTATTTAGACAAAAATTGTATTCCGACCAAATTATATATTTATATTGATAAGTAAGGATAAGTATCTATCTATAATTTAATTAAGGTAATAACCGCTGACATTATCATTGTCCAAGTGCCAGTTTCTCATTAAAATGTTTCCATCCGAAACCTTTGGTAATATCATTTTTTTCAAGATAAATAAAGGTTTGAAATTAGTAGATTAATTGCATATTTTCTAAGATATTTATGACTATTTTTTTTTGACACAATATTTTATGATTAAATTGAATTGACTAAATACAACCTAGCTTATGGAATAATTACCTCTTTCCTCTCTCCTCCTTCCTCTCTCCAAAACCCTAGCCTCCATTGTTGAATTTTAAAGGACCTTCCATCAGTTTTAACCGGTGGAAAGCCCCAATTCTAGTTTCTTTAAAGCTTTTTTAGGTTTTCTAATAATGCTTCCTCCTTTTGGGAGGAATTTTTCTCCCTCGAAAGAAAGGGTTTCCGACCGCCTTCAAAAGACAACGGTTTTTCGACCTCCTTTAAAAGACAAGGTTTATCTCCTCTTTTCGGGGGTAGAAATTTCTTAGTTTTGAATCCATGGTATTAGATCTAATGGATTGTCGGGAAATTATTTCGTTGGTGAAAAGGTTATCAAGTTTTCGAAAACAAACAGATGAATCAGAAGAAAAACATCCTCACGGCTACAAAGGATCGTTAGATTGTCTCTCCAACAAGGCTGTATTTTCCAGCAATATAAGCGGGAGATGTTCCACAATGCAAGATCTCCTCAACGATCGTAGTTTTTATGAAGGAAAATTTTATTTGATTCAATATCTTATGTATTTGTTAACGTCGAATCTATATTGTAGATGTCGTATGACTTTTAATTAATGAAATATTTTTTCTATTCGAAAAAAAAATTGAATTGACTAACTACACAATATTCGATGGATTTTAAAAAAAATGGTGGCTGAACTACCTCTTTTTTTCCAGAAACCTTTCATCTCCTCTAAATTAGTTCTTCAAAAAAAAAAAAAATGAAAGATAAACCAGTAAACTAATGCTAACATGTTAGAAATAAGTTTTAAATTTTATTTAAACTATGAAATATATAGTATCAATCTATACTAATATACTAAAGTAATTACCGGAGGGGCACTTGGCATAATTTCATGAAAAAATTTCCCTCCAAAATGATGTTCTTTTTTTTTAAAAAAAAAAATTTCTATTAAAAAAGTTTAAGGATAGACATTACTAAATTCAAATTAAAAAAAAAGTGTTACAATAGTCATTTAATTTCAATTAACTCTATTTCAATTGACTATTATTATATCATACTTTATAAACACGGGGACGAAACTAGTACGAGTACTTCTATAACTATAACTAAAATAAAATCCGCTTACATCACCATTGTACACATGTCAATTTTTCATGAAAATATTTCCCTCCAAAATCTATAACTATAACTAAAGAAAAAACCGATTACATCACCTGTGTACACATGTCATTTTATCATTAAAAAATTTCCCTCCAATTTGCTTATGTCATCATCATTTTTTTTCCTTATTTTTGTCTTTCGAAATTCAAAATTGGAAAAAATAATTCTTAAAAATAAATAAAAGTGTATAACGTGTTGTGAAATCAAGGGAAAATATGAGAGTTTGAGAGAGAATTAATCTATATGTGTTTATTCCATAGAGTAGGGGATATATATACAAATACAATGCTAGGGTTTGCTTTGAGAATGATAAACCCTAAATCTAGAATGTTTCGGAGAGTACAAGAGTATATAGACATCTATCCACAAATATTTCATAACAGAACATCAATTAATCAAAAATATATTAATGATTTTTCTCTTTTCAAAAACCCTCATTTTGTTATTATTTTACACTCTCTTATTGATTTTGTTTTATTCTAACTAAATCGTGCATCGCACGAGTACTAATCTATATATATACTAAAAGACATACCAGCAAGGCAGCAATGACATGTGTCATTTCCTGATGTGTCCCTTATATTTTAATTTATTTTTATAAAAAATTCCATATAAAAAAACAAATGTTATGCATAAATAAAAGATTTGATGTGTCCTTATATTTATTGCCAACTATAAAGTTAATATAAGTATAAAACATAATTTCTTATTTACATAAATAAAATATTTGATGTATCCTTCCACAATACAATATATAGTCAAATGCATATTTAAAATATTTGTTTGTCAAATAGGATATTTTATAATCCAATATAATATTTACATATGTAAATTTACTTATCCTTATATTTATTGCTAACTATAAAGTTAAAGTATAAAACATAATTTCTTATATACATAAATAAAGTATTATTTGATGTATCCTTCTCCGATACTATATATAGTCAAATGCATATTTTAAAATATTTTGTTTGGAAAATAAGATATTTTATAATCCATTATAATATTTACATATGTAAATTTACTTATATAATGTTAAATTTTTGTCTTTTGTTTGTAAGGCTTGGCCCACTTATGCATTAAAAAAAAAACACCTTATACAATGTAGATAATTTAAAATTAATTATTAAAAATCTTTGTGCATGGCACGGAGTCTAACCTAGTATTATAACTAGGTTAAGTCCCGTGCCACACACGGTTATTTTTACTATTACTATCAATTCTACACTATTTTAATTAGTGTAATAAAGATTAGTTTAAGAAAATTGTCTAATAATTTTGTGAATTAAACTACCAAAATATTTATTGAAATAATCATGGACAATTGGCTAATTATGTATTTAAAAGCTATGCATATGATCATATAATTATTATAATTATGTATTTCAGTGTAGTACCATTATTTTCTTGTTAATTAATTTTTTTTATAGCTATATTATTCGCTTTATAATCACTATTAAAATCACGCTATTATGTTATCTCAAATCAAGTCATTTATAATATTAATACATATGTTTCAAATAACGTATTATTTTTTTATTCAACCTTTCTACTGTTATGAACTCTAATCGGATATTAGTATGTTTTTAAATTATGTTTGGCAATAGCGTATGCAAATAATAAAAATAAAATTATTAGTCATTAATCAATATATTATGTAGTTATTTGTTGATGTTTATTATTACTCGTACATAGTTGATTTATTAAGGTAATTAGCTTGGCAAAAAAATTGTATAATAATCTTTAGTTATTATTATGGATTGTATTATAATCTGCGGAGTATATGATATTTTTTCTAGTGTTGTGATTGATTTTTTTTTAATTATTTCTAAAACTAAAGATTTAGATTATAATTAATTTTTAACAATTAGTCTATTAGTCAACTTTTTATTTTACCTCATTTAAACATTACTTAATTAGTGTTTTTCACAAAAAAAAAAAAAAAAAAAAAAAAAAATCACCTAAAGACACACTAGAAAATGAATGTATCATTGCTGGTGTGTCTTTTAGTATATAGTTATTGATTGATATAAGATTATATATTCCGGATTTGACATCATATCTTTTGTTAAGTATTATGCCACATCATCATCGTTTAACAAAGCATTCCTACCATTATTGATAGATTAATATAAAAAAAAAACTAGCCTATCATGGGTTTCGAATACTATAACTTAGAAAATTAAGATCAAGTTTCTTACCATCTTAACCAATATAAATCATGTCATTTTTATAAATAAATACAACTATAAATGTGGCGAAAAATATAAAGGAGAAACTAGATATGCAACTTGGGAAAAAAAATAAAGAGGAATATAATCAATATTTCCCACATAATGGAGAGTTAAAAATTGTCTTCCTATATTGTTATTTTACTGTTTAAATCGTGTATCGCACGGGACTAACCTGATTGTTTTGCACAAAATTTTGACACACAATATATTTAGTATGACTTTTAAGAGAAGAAAAATAAAGTATATACAAGTATATGTTACTAAAGTCTTAAAAAAAATATGTTACTAAACATATATTTTTTTTAATTAATAAACATGATTGTCCAAATAATAAAGTATAAAACAATAATATTAGCAACTCTTTAGGAAAAATCCTAGCCTTTCCTCTCTATTTTTTGGTGAGGGGCCGGGGGAAGGGAAGGAGGTCGGAAATGATGGGGTTGGGGATCGAAGAGGGTGGTTCGTGGGTGGGGCTGGCCGGCTAGGGAAGGGGCCACTAGCATTTAGTGGCTGGTGGTTTTTATTTATTTTCTTTTTCTTTTTTATTTCTTTTTTGGTTTTTTTAAAATTTAATTAAAATTTTTTTGAACTAATTATGCAACGTGTGATAAACAATTTTATAAAAAAATTTAACCTTTTCTTCAGGTTATAGATAATCGGGATTGAAAAAAGAAACGCAGGTGAAAGTTGAGATTATTGCATAATAAACGAAAGTTAAAAATATTTAAAATCAATTGGCCTAGGCAAAATTTGAATTATTAAAATGAATTTTTCTTTCATACATTGATCATTATACTACTCATGAGTTGACCTAAATAATTGACAACATCAATGCACGCCATGTGTGCATAACATTTTAACTTAAAGACATGGTTTTAAATTCCTTTACGTACTATGTATTATATAATTTATGTTATTTCGATTAATAATTGAACTTCATATAAACAATGGGGAAACTTGATAGATATCTGAAATAATCAGTAAGGAATATATAATCAAACTTTAATTTTTCTAATTTTCAAGATTTGATAACCATTTTTTTTTTGAAACCAGATTTGATAACCATTTAATTATATCTCAATTGTTAATTCTTTCCAATTTTGTCCCAATCAAAGATTTTTTATAAACTGCCTAAATTGTTCAGATAAGTTTTTTTTTTTTAGATAAATTTATTAATACATAAAGTGAAGGGGTATTTTATTTCTTTCCAATTAATTTTTCTTAAAAAAAATAGAATACTAACTTGGTGTAAGCTAAAAAGAGAAAACTGTGAATGTGACAATGGGTGTTAATATTGTTGTTTATTTCACCTCTTGTTAGGTCATGCATGGACAATGAATTTGTGTCTAATTTATGTTAACAATATTACTGGAACAATAAAAACCCTTGATATACTCATTACTAATGGTCAAGAGAAAATCTCTAAAAATAAGTTTTTGAAATTTAAATAACTATGCTAAAATAAAGAATACATTCCTATTTATAGACAATTAATGAACTATACTTTGATAAATTGTTATATCCATCCAATTTGTTCTTATTCTTATTCTTATATATAAGCAATATTTAACTTCAAATCCCTTAAGTTTCCAATTTCCTTTTAAGTTGCAAGGTCACACTAACAAATGGCTAATTCTAGAGGATACAACTTCACAATCATCCTCATTTTAGCCATTTCTTATTTCCTAATCGCGGTTGAATGTCATCGTGGCCTTGCAACTCCCCCCGCTAATACCGACATTGAAGTTTTTGTAATCACCAACTTTGGTGCAAAGGGAGATGGGAAACCTATCTATGCCAATGGGGAATCTATGAACGGAATAGTGAGTTTATTCATTAATCACCCTCTTTTATTATCGCGACTTAATTATTTTAGATAATTAGGTTAGTTTCCGTGTCATGCACGGTTAATTTACACTAACCATTATTAAACTATCATTTGATTAGTTATTTATAAACAAAAAAAAAATCTAAAAATATAGTTGACATATGTTTATTATCAAAATAAAGGATTACGTAAGATATGTTAGATATAAAATGATGAAAATTATGATAAGAATTTTAGCTATATAAAAATTTGTGTTAAAGATATGTCAATTTTTTTTTATTTATTTATTTTTTAATTTTAAGCAATTATATTGAATAAGAATAGTGAATTATTTTTGTTAAGATTTTTTTTAACAGAACTTAATTTAGCAAAAAAAAAAAAAAAAAATAAAAAATAAAACTATGAACACACCAGAAGATGACACGTCTTATTGGTAGTGTGTCTTTTATTATATAGTTATTATTGATCTTTTAGCTGGTCGGCTACACCCTAAACTATTCTCAACTTTCCCTAATCAAGAATTGTCAATTGATGATTTGTTATCAGTACTATGAATGTTGTTTAAAGAGAATATCGTTGGAATATTCTCATCCTGGGTAAATTTTATACAAAATATATCCTAAATGATATTCTCATATCAGTTTTGTTGTATTACAAAGCATATACTTAAATGTTTTAATACAATAATGCCTATTAGCAGGAATTACATATATGCACAATTAATAATCTTTTCAATTATTTGTCAAAAAAAAAAAAAAAAAAAAAAAAAAACTTTTCAATTAAAACTTCAAGATTAATAGTTTTAGTAAATACTTGTATTTTGTTATGTTTGGTGATGTTTTTGGTTTTCAAGTGATTCAGTTTATTGTCATGTTATTAATATTTTTTCTTTATATCAAAATACCAAAAATTACATCTTTAAATTTCACATGAATACGTACTCTAAGGACCTACCTTTGAATATGTGTTTTAAGTTATTGAACAAACATAATTAAGTATTGAAAATTGAGAAATATTCTATTACAAGTAAAGATAATATGCATATTCATCTTCAAATATTGATTGAGTATTTTGCATTTTGATTCATAATGCATTACCAATACAATTCATATATGTAATAAACGTGAAATCGTGAATACACACAAACATGCACATGAAAAATACACATTGTAAGACCAAATGTATTCACGAACTTCTTTGTATGCGTGTTTAGGCAATGATGAAAGCATGGCAAAAGGCATGTCATTGTAGTAATGGACCATCAAAGGTTGTGGTACCTCCTGGAACATTTGTAGCGGCAGAGGTTATATTCGCCGGACCATGTAAAAATCATGTAACTATTGAGCTTCAAGGAAATGTGATAGCTGATTCTGATATTAGCCAATTCCCAAACAAAGAATTTATCGTTTTCCAAGATGTGGATCGCGCCACTTTCACTGGACAAGGAACCATTGATGTTAGTAGCCAAGCAAAGAAGTTCTCACATTCCAATTATAAGGATGTTGATTTCTCTAGTATCATGCCTGTAAGTATCATCTTACATTTATATTATTTTTTATAAAGTATAAAACATATTCTTGGGCCTCAACCATAAGCTTAAACTTTTGGTTGAGATGGTCCTTTAACAATTTTAGCAACAAAGAGCGATTTCTAATTACTTCCTCTGTTAATGGTTAATTACAATAAAGGGGTATTATTTGTGAGATATAAAATATTCCTTTGTTGTAATTAACCATTAACGGAGGAAGTTTATAGTTTACTTTTATTAATCGTGTTAGTTAAGTAAAATACACTTACTCTGCAAAATGAGACATTTGCGATAATATTTCGTCAATTCTAACCTCAAATAAAACTTTTAGATTAGTAGAAATCTTACATATTTTCCTTGTACAGTCAATCAAGTTTTACAAGGCGAAAAACATGGCAGTTGAAGGAATAAGATCAGTTAACCCTGCTGCATACCATGTGTTGATTGTGGAGAGTGAATGCATAACCATTGAAAATGTGAAATTTGAAGCAACGTCTGTGGAATCTAACACTAACTCAAATGGTATCTACATAAGTGCATCTAGTAAAGTTAATGTGTCTAACAGCTACATCAAAACTAGTGATGATTGTGTCACTGTTGCTCCTGGATCTACTGATATTTCTATCACGGGAATCACTTGTGTTGCAGGCCAAGGCATTAGGTAATTAATTTTTCTTTTTTTTTAATTAATTTTCTGAGAGAATCACGGTCTAATATATGAAAAACTTTTAACTCATTTTCAAATGAGAATATACAAGTTTATCAATATGATAAACAAAATTGATTAACTGGAATACTTCCTCTTTTTAAATCCAGCATTGGATCGCGACCATACACAACTTCACTTGATGTGAGTGGTGTGCTAGTTAAGGGTTGCTCATTCAAGGGAAGCGCATTTGGTGTAAGGATCATTCCTCGCCTAGAATTCAAAGCAAGTCTTATTTCTAACATTAAAGTTGAAGATTTGATAATGGAAGGAGTGCAAAACCCTATTGTCATTGACCAAGTACAAAGCATCCCCATACTAAACAAGGTAAATGTGTTTCTTATGTCAAACCTAAAAAGTTAGTTAATAAAATATGTACTTGAATTCGGAAAAATGTACTACCCCCGTTACATTTTATGTGCAACTTTGGGAAATTATTTGAGAGAGATAAAAAATTATAAAGTTGCACATAATATTTAACGGAGGTAATATTATGCAAATAGTCCAGTTAGTTTACAAGAATTTTTTTTTTTTTTTTTTTTTTTTGCTTGCAACACAGTTAATTCAAGCGAAGATAGAAGGTGTATTCTTCAAGAACATTAGAGGAACTACAACCACCAAGAATGCAATATCTTTCTCATGTTGCCCAAAAAATCCTTGTGAAGGCATTAATGTGGTTGATATTGATCTAAGCTTGGATGCAAAGCTTAATGCTAACCTCAACCTTGTTGACAAAACCTTGCCTGCAAAAGGGCTAAACTTTTTGGTCAATTGTTTAAATGCTAAAGTAAATTTTGGGGGTAAACATGATGGATTAAGTTGTGGTATTCTCCCATAAGAAACTTTTTTGCAAGTATTTAAGTTGGAAACTAGCGGGTTACATTAGAGAAACTTAATCGATTAATTTGTAATGAATTAATAAAAATATATTCTCATACTTTATTCACATTACAACAATTATGCTTTTTAATCTTATTTTCTCCTTCCAATCTTGAATATTATTGTTGTTGTCATCATTTTTTTGAGCTACTACTATACTTTATTATTATTGATTTATAGAAACGCAACAATTATCAACATTTATTTAGGCCAACAATTATCAACAAATTAAATATGCTTTCTAATCTTAGCTTCTTTATAATATAAGTAGGGTTGTTCATCGGTCCAAGACCGGACCGACCCGGATTGGACCGAAGACCGAAAATTAAAATTTTAAGAACGACCGAAGACCGGACCTATTAAGTTAGGACCGAACCCGGACCAGACCGAAAAAATCGGTCCAAATCCCGGACCGGACCGCTTTGACCGATTAAAGAATTTTTTTAAAAAGAATACTAAATTTTTAATAAAGTTAAGGAAAACACAAAAAAATTATTGAAAAAACTATATTGTAACGTCATTTTTATGTCTTTTTTTGTATGTTTAGTGAAAAAAAAACTTATAAAGTTAAAGTTTATTAAGGATAATTTTAACCATTATTTAAGGTTTCACACATATTTTTTATAAAAAAATCGGTCCGGTCCAAAACCGGTTTTTATAGGGTTTTGGACCGGACCGGACCGGACCGACGACCGAAAAAATGAATTTCAAGACCCGAAGACCGGACCGATTAATTCATTCTGGTCCGATCTGGGTTCGGTCCAGGGTAGTCCGTTCCATTTTTTCAGTCCGGACCGATTTATGAACACCCCTAAATATAATACTATCTTGAATGTTATATTCGTATGTAATGATTTAATGTCTATTATTACATGTTCGCCATATAACTGAAAAGATAATTTCGAAGTTGTAATAATATACTTTTTCCATTTTCAATTAATGGCAATATATGAAATATCACGCGTCTTAATATACAAGTTTAACCTTTAAAGAGGATTTTCAGTGCTTCAGACCACATGGTGCAACAAGGGTTACTTGTATGGTGTTACTTGTATTGTAGGGTCACTTGTATGAGTTACTTGTAAATATTACCTGTATTATGTGGTTACTTGTAGGTGTTACTTGTATTCTGATTAATCCCTACAAGCAACACCAAACAAACCCCCAAAACAAACCAGTAACACTTTATAAGTATCCCCAACCAAAACCAATAACACCCTACAAGTAACCCCAAAATAAAGTAACACTTACAAAAATACAAGCTAAGTAAAACCTACGAGCACTACTAGAAAAAGGCCCATTTCCGACGGAATCGTTTCGACGCATACGAAAATCCGTCGAAAAGTACATACTTTCCGACGGATTTTCAAATCTGTCGGAAATTTGCGACGAATTTTACAACCTTTCCGACGGAACTTAGTAAAATAATAATAAAGCAAAAAAACCCAACCCTAATTAAAATGACAGTCATCCCCTACCCCATTTCATTTCTCATTTCTCTCTCTCTCCTCCGCCTCTCTTCTCTCCTATCTTCCTCTCATCTTCTCTTTCTCTCTCCTCAATCTTCTCCTCCCTTCTCTTTAGACTCCCCTTCCCTCCTCTCCTGACTTCTCTTCCCTCCTCTCATCAACGCCTTCTTCTCTTCTCACGGTCTTTAATGGTTTTTAATTTAAGGTCAAATTCTACCATAAAAATGCTAGATCTAGTGTTTTCACTACTAGAAAATGGCCAGTTTCCGACCGAATTATGCCGACGGACCAGTTTTTCCGTCGCAAAACCTACCATCAACGACGGAACTATGTTTGTCGTTAAATTCCCTCAAAAAATCGTTATTCCGACGGAAATAATTTCGGTCGGAAAATTAAATTTCCGACAGAATACAAAGTCGGCGCCTTTACAATAAGCCACCACCGCCGGTTTGTTTTGGTTTTTTTTTTTTTAATATCTGGTTATTTATTTATTTTTTAATAATTTCTGGTTTTTTACTTAAACCCTAACCACCACCACCCTTTTTGGACAGGTTCCTCCAATATTGTCCTCGCTCCGACAAGAACCACCACTATCTTCACCACCCGTCGTTCTACAGCCGGTAATTGTACCTTTATTATATATATATATATATATATAATAAAAATTGACATTTTAATTTTTACTATTTTTAGGATTTGAACATTTACTTGTTTTGAATCTCAATAAAAAGTGCAGATCTTGAGGTTAGTGACATTATAATTTTAAAAATTCTTAGTTTAGTTTATTCAAGTTTTTATTTTAAGTTACTTTAGTTTGGTTTATTTTATTATAATAATGGTTGATATGTTAGTTTAATTTGGTTTATTATAATAATGTAAGACATGACATGTGAAATTGCTTTGATTTAGTATAATAATGTATGACATGATATGTTAGTTTAGGTTGATATTTTATTATAATAATGTACGGGATTATATGTTAGTTTATATTGGTTTAGTTTAGTATAATGATGTATGTTAGCTTAGTTTAATTTATGATAATTTTATAATGTATGTTAGTTTTGTTTTATTTAATATAATGTTCATTAGTTTTGTTTAAACCAAGTTCGAGGGAATTTCGAAGCTTTGTGATTTTTAAGGTGCGTTTTAATGTTTTTATTTTTGTTTTTGATTTTTTTTTTAATTTTTGGATGGTTTAAGGTTGGTGTGTTTGATTGTTGGTTCGGTGGTGGTGGTGGTCTTACGTGTTGAGGGTTTTAGGTGGGTGGGTTGGATTGTGGGTTCGGTCGGGTTGGGTGTTTAGGTGGTTATATCTAGGTTAAGTGGGTATGGGTTTGGGTTCGGTGGTGGTGGTGTTCCATGTTGAGGGTCATTAGGTGGGTGGGTTTGGGGGTGGTTCTAGGTTTGGGGAGGGTTCTGGGTTTGGGGAGGGTTCGATCAGGGTGGTTCTGGGTTTGAGTCTGGGTTTGGGGGTGAATCTGGGTTTGGGGAAGGTTCGATTAGGGTGGTCTGGGTGTGGGGAGGGTTTCGGTTAGGGTGGGTTTGTGGGTGGTTCTGGGTTTGGGGAGGTTTTTGGTCAGGGAATAGGTAATGTGGTGGTGGTCTGATGTGTTAGTTGCGGTGGTTAGGAATAGTGGAGGTGGTGATACGCCGCACCGGAGGTGGAGCGGCGTGTTTTTTTTAAAGACATATCCGACGGAAATTCCATAGGAAATTTTCGAGGGACTTTGAATTCGTCGGAAATTTCCGACGGACTTTTTCGGTGCCGGAAATTGTGGTAACGACGGAAATTCCGTCGAAAAAGTGTTTCCAGCGGAATTTTCGTCGGAAAAGGTGGTTTTTCCTACCAAGGTGTTTCCGACAACCATTTCCGACGGAAACACCTTTTCCAACGGATTTCAAGGTGTTTTTCCTACCAAGGTGTTTCCGAAGAAAACTGTCGTCGGAAATGAGCTTTTTTTTTTTCTAGTAGTGGAGTAACCCCTACCGCACCACGTGGCCAGTCGCATACAAAAATTTGTATAACCTTTATTATCTTCAAAGGTCTATCTTTAACCCTTTATCTTAAATAAATCTATGTTTGCATTTGTAATTTAATAAACTTACATTGTTTGAGTGTATTGAGTTTCCTTATGGTGAAACTAATTAATTTTAATAAAGTTTTCTCCTTGGGAAGGATTTTTGGTTTCCTCTAGGGTTTCTCCTTAGTAGGGTTTTTCTAGCCTCTATTGCTAGATTTTTTTTCTATTTTTTGAAGGAAGATTTTCCTAGCATCCATTGCTAGATTTTATTCTACATTTTTGAAGGTTTTCCTTCACTCCTCTTTTCTCTCTTTCTCTTTCATTTCTTTTCTTCTGATCTCAATTGTAAATTTTTGTAGGGGCTTCCACTGGTGTTTTTACCGGTGGTAAGCCCCAAAAACTTTTTATTTGCTTTCAATAAATAGATCTCATCTTTATGACGGTGATTATTTTATTAGGCTTTGTTGACTTAGATGGAACACACAAGAGGGGGGGGGGGTGAATTGTGTAGGAACTAGTGTTCCCAAATTTTGCGGAAATTAAAAACGTAGAACAAAATAAAGAGATGCAAAGAGATTTATACGTGGAAACTCCTTGTGCCCAACAGGGAGAAAACCACGACCACTTGGGATTTTTGAACACGACTTCACTAAATAGGGCAACTACTCCGTTACAACCTATAAGGAACTCGACAAAACTTAAGTTCCAATTAGAACCTAAGCCAACCCCAAATGCTCACTCTAGCTTCTACTCCGAAGCCTACACTCAAGACTTAACTCTAAGTCTTTACAAGGATCACTCAACCCTTTCCCAAATTACAACTCAGTAATTTGAACTCTACGTGTTTAGATATCTTACAATAGTTGGAACATAGGAATACTCTCACTGACAAATATATATTTTTTTCTCAAATGTTGTACGATTTTCAGGATTGCCTTAAAACTGAAACTCAACTCCTTTTTACACTGTTTCATCAACCCAACCACCTTCCCAACATTCTCCACTACTTAAGGTGGTGTTCCTAAACTTTAGGAACTAACTCAAGCAATGTAGAGAAGTCAGGAAAGTCGTTCAATATAGAACGTGGGATGAGGTTTGAATAATTCCTTGGAGAGTAATTTAAGGAATCAGTTAAAATCTTTTTACAGAAGATATGATTTTGTTAAAAAAATATAACAAAGAATATCTTTTTATAATTTTAACAAAAACCAAAAATAAGATAAAAACCAATTTTATAAAATTGATTGATCGTTTCACTTTTAATTCTAATTAACTCTTGTATTCCTTGTGTTCCAACCAATCATAAAATATCAAACACTTACATAAAGCCTAAAAATAATAACTCATACTTTTTAGTCTTCATGTAATACTTGTTGCTCTTATGATATTCCAATTGGACCTTTGATAACTCTATCTTGCCAAATAGAACATTCAAGCATAAAACCTTCTTTGCTTTCTTCACTTCAAATTGTTGTGTATGCCATATGTAGATTAAGGACTTCTCTTAGTTCCAACCCCGGAACTTTGTTCTTAATAAGAACCTGCCTAAATAACCTGCACGCTTAATACACTTTTATCAAATCGAGTTTGCTTTTCATCACCA